GTGCAAGACCTGGGAATAGCAGTAACCGATGGCGCAGTTTAAAGCCCGTATGCCAGAGCTAATCCCCAACTACGCTCCCCACAAACACGTCTCGTCCCACCGGATTTCAAACAGCAAACAGACCTTCGCTGCTGGTTATTGCGCTCTCCAGCGAAGAACTCACAATCGAGGGAATAGTTACCAACGCACCGTTGGGTCGCGGTGACCGTGCTACTCTACCGTTTGACCAAATATACTGTGCGGAGTAGCTTGCAGTGAAAGATGATAAATCAAATACCGTCAGGCACCTTAAAGTGGTATCCAATCTTGCTAAGGAAATGACTTGAAAATTTCTTCAGTTTGTCTAGAAAAGGTTTAAAAAGAGGTTCGGCATGCAGGTACTGCACGCATCCGAACAGAAAGCCTTCCATTGTCATGGCAAAAGCATCGCCTTTCTGAGGATTCGAACACGTAAATGGATGTCTTTCAGGGAGTTGGCACAGAGAACTCTCAAGCATTCCCATAATTCAGCCACCTGGACTGCATACGTGACAGAGTAACTTTTTCTTGGACGTAATCCATGAGGAATAGGTGACGCATCAGCAGGAGTTAATAAAGCGAATCTGCACCTACCGCTAGTATCTATGCAAGCACGTCAATGGACATGGTAGGATGTCAAGACTAACGTGTGCGCTCGATCAGAAACGGATGTAGGTAATCCCTTACGGTCCCACTGTTCCCAAATCTGCCAGAGGATGTCTAGCCAGAATATTCTCCTCCTTTCTATCACCCCAGCGCCAGGTTTACCCAACATCATCACTTCAGAAACTGTGTTGAAGAAAGTGTCATAGATGCATACGAACTTGTCTCCTAGAGTCGACAACTTCCGGCTGAAAACTGAACAATGAACATTGATTTATAACGGGTAAAAAAGCAGGTGCTTGACATGTCCCGTAGGGTGTATAGCGTGAAAAAAGATAGATCAAGGGATAATGGAGTCGTCAGTTCGAGCGATTACAGATTTAACAGCACGGCCGTATAAAGGGAGTTTGAAATGAGAATGTACGCACACAAAGCAATAGGGGAGTGGTTATTGATCACATACTAAGTGACAAAAAATTAAAAAAGATAGCAAGGACAGTGCTTACTCGTGTGCAACTATCTTGGGTCGACAGGATACAGAAATCCAGTTCCTATAGTAGTAGCGTTTATCAAATTTTGTGCAAGGGGTTTGGAGTGACTCATTCTCGAGTAGGGTTATGACACTATCCACTGTCAGTTGTGCATTAGTGCCAGCATTTGGTGGTCATGAGCTATGGCACATAGTGTAAATGTAACAGAGTATCGTCAAGGCGTTTTCTGAAAAGGGATAGGGTGGGTGCATTAATTACATGTTTCGGGAGGGCGTTCCAAGGCTGTGACATTCGAAGGGAGAAATAGTTTCGCCGACATTCCAGGCGGCTGTACTGCGTGACTAACTTAAACTGGTGACCTCTTAGCGAGGTGTTTTGACTGGTGATCCGTCAGAACCACCGACGGTTTGGTTATTGTCATTTGTTCCACTTCTACCTTGGTTACTGGGAATCGCTGAACATTCATTCCACGGGATGTTAGGTAGTATGCGCATTTCCCATGAGGCGTTGCAGAGTCGATTAGCAGACAGCAGAGCAGCCTCTGCCTCATCCACTGAGTTTGATGTTGCCCAAATTAATCGGTGTCCACCGTAGTGCAGTGAGTTTGGGTAATGCAAAATACGTTTTAATGTTGTGAGGTTAGCATGTACATTGAGGGCCATGCAGATGGAACACCATCGGATTCCGTCGTCTGTTACTTTAATTGTACTGGATTTTGATTCGGGGACATTGGTGCGTAGGAGATAAAAGACACCATGGTTACGCCTGGTGACAACTGGTTTTTGTAAACTTAGCTTCCCTTTCTTTTAGTAAATTTGTGGACCGCCTTGCTCGAGCACTTCGTACTGCGAACTTCAGTTTTTCCCAATTCTGCAGCCAAATTTATCGGTGCTCCTTCCGGTGTTTGCTTGACGGAACCCAATGCGAATGGTGCCTGATTCTTCACTAGGTCGGCTGGCTGTACCTCTGGGTCTCATGTATGACTAACGAACCATTGGGTACGACACACGGTAGATAAGTTAAATCGGGCGCGCTGTAGAAAGGGTATCTGCTTATGGGAGAGAGAGAGGGGAGAGTAGGGATTGTCGTAGCATGAGACTTTGGTGATATGAGGTTATGACGTCTGACACGCCGCTTTGGTCTAAATGAGGAATTCGTTCGGAGTAAGTTCACACAGAAGTGCCGGTTCTTTTCCTCCCACATGCATAACCATGGGGGGGGTCAGCAGTTGCTCGACTGCTTCCGTTAGTCTTTCACACTCCTTCAGTAGCACAGTTAAACAGCTACCAACGGGGAGAGCGCTACATACCTGACAGAACCAAAACGCCTGTCATGCTATCGTACTGGTTCCTTTCTATCTGCCCCATCCCAAGACGCCTAGTGGGATATGCTTTTAAGCAATTGGAGCATATTAGCTCCTTCTTCACTACTTTAATACCAAATCCACACTTTTAACGTGAAACATGTTCGCAAAGCATATGCAGTTCAAGGGAAAGCGTCTGTCCGATGATCAGTCAGTACAGCGGTCCGCATCGCTGGTGCACTTGAGTCAGCTTGAGTTGCGGCGCTGTCTGCCACCTGCGATCGGTTGTACACACAGGCTTCAGTGTAGGTTTGTTGATTAATCAATGATAAGTCCAGTTGGTTTGGACCTAGTAAATGAATTCAAACACAACGCCAAACACAGATTAAGGGAGCAAGAATTCCTCTACGTCCACGTTGATAAGCACCGGATTAGAATAAGCTTGGGCCTGCGAACAGCCTCGAGAATTTTTTATCGAATTCTGTGACACAGAGAGGCAATCGACTCAGTGATTGGTTTATCTGCTTGTGTTGAAGCCTGGATAACAATCCAAACAGTTAGCGATGAGCAGAAATTTAATAAGTAAAGCTACTTCCACGTATGATCGATCATTGTGTAGGAATGGTGAATCCGGTTAGCATAAGTGTGTAACAAAACACTGAGAGAAGACAGAGAAGAGTAATCTATTTGATGCAAGAGCACGCGCGTCACGTGTGTTGCAGCTGTGTGATAATCTTTAATTTACTAGTCCGTTGATGCCGGACCTGTTATATCCCTGAGTGTATGTACGAAGACATAATGATCACATGACCTACTCCGGGATTTGCAGGAAGTTAAAGTGGTCACTAACTACTCGAAGCTCAGCAAACCTCTGTGTTTCTGTTGTACCTGTTGATATGAACGATGATGCTAAGTGGCTGTTTTTAACGAGTTGCTTGTTGTGAACTATAGAATATGGAATAAGTCGTACCTCCTTATCCTCGAGATGGACCAACTTTTCCAGTCGATAACTGTGAAAGTTTGTTCCGACTGATGTTAGATTGGTGGCACTTGTGGCAACAAAGCAAGCACTCGAATGACTTATCCCTGTGCGTCTGACGGATTCTATTTGCTAAGTAAACTCACACAAGGGCATTCAGCTCGTCTATTGTACTCCCAGATATAACGCACGAGGCGCCGGTGGCGGTGACACTATTCCTGTCAGAAATCTGGCCTAAATACGCAAAGACAGTTGTCTAAGTCTTCCATCCATCTTGCTTCACACGGTGGTCAAGTTATCCCCTTAACTTGTCCTTGGTAAGTAAAGTTGCCAAGCTTGATTGGTAGACATTTCGAGGCACCGATTCATCATATAACCACATGATGTTGGTTCCAGTCTGAATTTAACGAGCAAGTACGCATTCCTCGGACAATTTCACCTAAATATCTTCCCTACATTCTATGAGGCATTTTTCGCAACGCAGCGGCAACAAGCAGTCGCCTGGTTTACATTACTATTTTACTAAGGATGCTAACTGTATGTGGGTGTCATAGTTTCCTGTTGGCTAGATCTAATCGAAGAATCGAGCTAGACAGAATAGCTGATCAAAAGGGGTCTTCCTGCTTTAATTGTTCACTGTGGATAGAGATGATCATAACCGCCAGCTGAACGGTGAAAAATCCCAACAGGTACGAAAGAAACTGTACTGTGGCAACCAGCACCCACCGTATGCATTAGGTCTGGCCGACGACAGCACCACACATGCGCCAACGTGAACGCTTAGTGCTCCCATATTTGAGGACTTGTCAAGAGCTAATGTAATATTTATCTCTAGCCCACATCCATACCTACACTACAAGCGCTCTTGTTATATAAGGAACTCGGTTTGGTTCATTGTTGACTAGTTGCCGTCCGTTTCGCCTAGTACTGATACGCTACTCACTTCTAGCGCAATAGTATCTCCTCTTAGCTCATCACAGTAGGTCACGACATCACGACTGACGCCGCATCTGTGATTCGTCATCAATGCGGGTGGGTATGCTCGAACAAATGAGTTGGTTTTGATCACTTGATTGTATTACTATATGATACACTAAGTATGATTGATTTCGATGGGGAGGTACACAAGGGGGTTATTCGTACAATACCACCATCTCGGTATATGGATCTGAGAGGCTATCAATCCTTACTTTGGTAGACTAAATGAGCGGCCATCACGGCAGATCAAATCTCTACTACTTGTCCTCGCGTAAATTGAACTCCGTGCTGCTACATGTCAAGCATGCAGCCATAAAGGTCACTCCATTAACATACGTGATGAAGGAGTGTACACCGGCTCTGAAGCAATCATGACTCCCATGTGCGTGGCTCTCAATGCCATTCCTTCGGCGTAACACTGGATAGATGGTGTTTAAGTAATATGTAAATGACGCAGTGTGTGTCATTTATGGTGTGTATATATAGGTAGGCATCCTGTGGTGTTAGGAGGGGCACCCCCTAACGAATGGATCAGTGAAGCCAAATGATGTGCATGGCTGGACACTAACCGCGTGCGTCCGACTGCCGTCAGTATTGATTGACAATTTGGATTCTGTGTTCTTGTGACCTATAGTGCGTCGCAACTCTTGTTGCTGTACTTTAAGACAGTCTGTTCCGCAAATAACCATTATAGTACCCAACTCCGTTTTCCCGTTTTCGCCTGGCTTAGTTCAAAAGCTTGCTTATTGTCATTGGTGCCACAGTTCCCTGTTGGCGACATCTAAGCGGCGGGGTGAGATAGACAGTAAGTTGGACCGCAAGGATTTCCAGTGATTCAATTGAGCACTAAGGACACATAACCTCATGACTGCAAAGTGAACAGTGAATTATCCCAAAGTACCGAAGGAACTATTTACTATAACAACGAGCATTCACTGAATGCATTAGATCAGACCGCCAATAGGTAAGAGCACAAGAATCTCTGTCCAACGCAATTGAGGTGGAATGCTGCAAACCCAAAGGAGCGATGCTAGAACCCGGTCTATTCTTGACTTTCATAAACGATCTGGCGGGGGAAATTACTTCCGGTTGCTTATTCTTCGCGGATTATATCAAGTTTTGCCCAATGATCAGAAAACCGAACAACCACGAAAAGCTCCAGCGTGACCTCAACACGATTTCAAACTGGTCAGTACTAAATACCCTACCGTTCAATGTGGAATATTGTCACGCTGCTCAATTACGTCAACGGCATGACTACGTGCATAGTTTCGGGTCACATGTCTTGCAAACAAGTTCTCAGGAACGCGGAGTTGGTGTGCTTATTCAAAGTGAACTTAACTGTTTAAAGCAGACAGGCAGCTGCGAAGAACGCCAACCAGCACGTCGGCTTACTGTGGATAGTATTCGGAACTTTCGACCCATCCATCTTCCCCATGAGGCACGGGTTTTAGGTTCAACATCAAGTTGTATACGCTATCCAACTTTGGCAAACTTGGCCGAAGCGCGACTTAGAAGTACTAGAGAAACCACAAGGTAGGGCAATAAAGAACGTCAAGGGTCTACGAAATCCGTCCTATCATCAAAGGCTGAAGTCAATGGGGAGTTTCAGTTCCCGCTACCGAAGGCTGCGTGACGATCGCATATTGATCTACCAAATATTGGGGAAAATTAATCATGTATGCCGTCACTTGCTGAAACTCAGCCATAACACCAATCTCAGAGGTAACCCACTGCAATTGTGTGCACAGTATAGCCAATTCCGGCGGAAGTATTTTCTTTTCGAGTTTGCCAACCCTGGAACTCTCTCCCAAACTTTGTTATTTCTTCCCCCAACTTGGAACGAATTCGCACCTAGCGACAGCATTTAGCAGTAGGAATTATATTTACCGATGTTAAATGGGAAATGCTTTGGTTCGGCGGTATATCCAGCCGGTAAACTTTTTAAGGACACTTGCGGTTTTCCAATTTCAGGCTTTTTAATTGTTCCGGAGGAGTAACGCATTTGTTTCTTTTCTCTACTAAAGTTCGGCGTCTGGAAATACGGAAACATTTCAGTTATAAGGCCGATGAGAACATGCCAGCTCAAATTCAGCTGGGTTGTGCCGGAATGCAAAGCGATTATATTCATGTGACTGCTAGGCATGCAGCCGTGTTTGACGCTGATCTTCTGTTTCGCTTTTATGTCTTCCAACCAGTCTTAGTTTAAGTTCATTCTCTTGAGAACAAAGAACATCTGAAGCTGCGAAACATAATCACCACGACCGTAACGGTGCATCTTCTAGTCCGGATGCACGTGACATCATCGATTCCTCTCCCCATATTCAGGCCACTCTTCGTCGTTTCCGATCGTTCGCCGATTGCCATCCTACCACAATCTGAATTAAACTTCCTCATCGCACTTCTTCCGCTATGCGACTACAACGACCAAAGATTGACCTCGTGCGGGTCAGCATTTGGGTGCATAAAGGCAGGTTGATTGTACTTAAAAAGAAGAGAAGGATTTAGTAAAAACATATAAAATTGCAAATGGTAGAAAGCAAAAACGAAAAAGTAAGCAAGAAATTTGTGATACTAGTGACCTAATGATATTTAAACGTAAGTGAACTTCAAAGCTTAATTTCACCGCCTGGTGTATTGCAAAATAAGAAAAAAACGTCAGAAACGTACATAAAAGCCTCGAAAATATAAAGAAGCACGATGCTCAAGGAGTGAAGGCCATAGTGAACGACACGGCTCAAATGCAACACAATGTCACACGCAATGTTGAACTTTAGTGGGTTGTAATCTAATTGCCATGAACCCAATAACACGTTCACCAAACCCATCTACTCATGCACAATGAAAATTTCGAAACCCATTAAAATTTTGTGTAATAGTGAAACATTATACATGTAATCTTAACATTGGCATATACACATTAGTCGGTACGCAGAAACCTGGTCGTTTTAGAATGTAACGTTCTGTAAAAATTCCAGAATAATCTATGAAAAGCTTTCGGAGGTTACCGAGTAGGAACAACTGATCATTTGCATTGTTATTTATGTAGTTTATCACACCACCTACGTTACAAGGTTTGAACCTAAGTTAGTGCTAAAGGTATGGCGTAATCAAACATAGCACACAGGTATAGCAAACACCCGGTTCCCCGACACGCGTCACTCTTTCTTGGTGTATGTACCTTTGGTTTCCTTTTTCATGTACATGACTTGGAAAACTTTTGCTTTCATGTATTGTTTCAGCAGTTGTCTCACGAAGCGTAATCCAAATATATAATAGGATTTGCACCATAAAGCATTGCCACTGTAATTATATAATGCTAACGCCGGGGTAACAGAAGGCTCATCTACTACAGGCCGTCATAGTGTTTTAAAGAACTGGGTCGAATACTCATTTCATGAAAAGTTACGCGCGCAGGCCCGAGGGCAAATTGGCGTGAAATTTTTGTACCATTACAATGAGTCATCCATTCGCTCGTCGATTGAGGGTTTTCCTTTCATTTCTGAATCATTTTCAATAAACGCACGAAAGGGTTTCCAATTCATTGCACAGTGTATGAAGGCTTCCCTGTAGCTGTTGCTGCTTTTGTATTCTTGCTCATGTTGAAGTCTCAGACAATGTCGTTCCAATTCTATTTCACTGAACATGTGTGTACATCATATACTCACAGTAGCACGGATTCCGCCGAAAGCGGTTTGCATTAGACAAGTACTTCTAGCCTGAGCAAGCTGAACAGAATCAGTTGTTGCCAGAGTAAGAGCCGACGTCATCTAACTGGATTACTCCAAAGCGTTCGATCACCTGGACCACCGTATTCTCCTTCACACGTTTCAAGTTATGGAATTGCTGCCCCTGTGATCCTTTGGTTAAGCAACATGGTCGTTTAACATCAGTTGAATGCGAGAGTCCTCAGATCTGTTTGCCATGCGCTTGAAGTCCAGTGTGACGTACCACACTGGACTGGTACTTGGCCACATTTATGTCTAGCAATTATTAACCATCTTGCTAGTGAATCGCAATAGAACTACTTACCATTTGCAGACGATGTCAAAACCTGTACGACAACAAGGCAGTAAACGATCAGATGGCACTGCAGTACGATCTCGACAGGGCTTATACGTGGTCATCCGAAAACCAGCTCCGGATCAACCTGATGAAATGCAAAGCCGTGAGCATACGCTTTTAGTGTAAACCTGAAAATGAACTTAGGGACCAGCAGTTGCAAGGTGCCTCCATGGGAAGCGGCCATAAACTGATGGTGCGGGATAATCTTGGCAACTCGGAAGAGGCCGAAAAGCATCAGGCAAATCCGGTCGACACCTTGGACTCTTAAGGACTCTTTCGGAATGTTCGAGCCATCAGTCATTCAACAAATGCCGAACGCTTATGTGGAATATGCGATCCGGATCTGATGTCACCCGCGCGAGCGTGAAGTTGATGCACTTGATGTTCCCAAAGTAGGGGGACCAAACACTTTAGATGGTTGATTCACCTGCACCACGGGCGCAGACTGCATGCCTTGAGATTGTACAGTGAGAAATATCGACGTCAGCGAGGAGACACTATTATGGTTTACTTAATAATGACGAATTCAAATCGTGCTTCTGGCGGATTGTTGCAGCTGAGCGAAAATATCATACAGAGAGACCAGTAGCTCAAACTGGCCACACACTACAGTCGATTTGATTGCTGACAAAGCGTTTTCTCCCTCTGGGTTTCCCCGACATGGAACGCCCTTGCAATCGAAATCATCTCTGTCCCTACCCTAACGCTTTTCAAAAGACATCTTGATGAAAGGCTCTCCCACTTGCATTACTTGATATAGTCCGTTTCATTCGGAGGACGAAACAACGAGACTATGAGTGCAGTGCATGGCTCGGGGCGCTCGCTGGAGTTCCGGTCCAGTAGTATGCGCACGTTCCAGCACCCGATGCTGAGTGCTTTGCATGCAGGCATTCGATTGGACAGTGTATGGGGTTAACTGAACACAAGATTGAGCCAAACGTAAGAGCAACACCACTGCCATTGTCAAAACAGATGGAAACGCGTTTCGTGCTATAGGACAGCGGAATGCAAAATGTTGAAATTTGTACAGGTACCAACGACAACAACAATGTCTATGAACTAAAGGAAACTTCAGGAAACTTCGACGCGTGGTCGAAGATAATCGATTGCTTGCTAAAATAATGGGTATTCCTTTATGTTTTTACCTTTCCCCGTATACTTACCCTCCTGACACACTGTTGGTCGCAGATGGTTTGCATGGCGTACCCATACCTGGGTTCCAAGCAGCACGTTGTAAATGACGTTCCCACGATTGCCCTGGATGGTGCCTGGCACCTATTTTGCATGTCCTTTCCGATAATCACATACAAGTACTGGCTGATCCGGTTTAAACGAACGTCGCTTGACACCATACCGCCGATTAAAGTCACGTTCCATCTTGAGGTTCATTTCACCAGCTGTGGATTCTGAGGACGGCCGAACTGCATCATATGGCATGCGAAGTATTCGCTTTCTCATTGTCTCTGCTGGTGATATTCCACCCGGAGTTTGTGCATTTTTTGTTGATTGGCATAGAAAGAGGAAGCAGTCGATCACCTCATCTGTGTCTCCCTCCCTCCTTGATTTGAGCCGAGCGCGTTTGAATGTATCCACAACTCTCTTCACTTGGCCATACGATTGTGGATGGAATGGTGGAGACCGCAAGTGTTTGATGGCACAGCGTTTGCAGAACTCCGTGAATGTGGCCAAAGTAAACTGTGCTCCATTGTCCGTCACCAATGTTTCAGGGCAGCCGAACCTGCTGAAGATTGGTCGCAAACTCGAGATTGTTTCGCTGGTTTTCGTGCTGCTCATGATGGACACTGCAGGCCACTTGCTGTAAGCGTCGACCACTATGAGAAAGTTCTGACCATTGATTGGGTCGGCAAAGTCGACATGAACACGACTCCAAGGTTTAGTTGGTTGAGGCCACGAGTGGAGTCCAGTCTTCGGCGGTGCCCTTGAAGCGGTAGCGCAGTTGCCACAACTTCTAGCTACCTGCTCCAGCTGTCTGTCCATAAACGGCCAATACACATAACTTCGGGCAAGCGCCTTCATCCGGTTGTGCCCTGGATGTCCTTCATGGAACTGCCGCAGTACCCTTTCTTGCACCGCCTGCGGATTGACTACTCTCTTTGAGAACATGATGCAATCGTTCACAATGGAGGGGAATATCTGCGCTGATGGAATTGCTGCATCTCGGCAGAAGAACACGAACGGGGTCAGCTGGTTCTGGGGAAGTGCGTAATCTTCTTTAGGATTGGATCTCGAAGCGTTTCGACCCGCACAGCTTCGGCCGTAACTAGTAGATCATGTAATGCCTCGCTCACTGGGAATTCGACATCAGGTTCGATCGCAACTGAGGCTATTCAGGTGTTCTCGTGTTCTTGCTGCTGGAAATAAATTAGGCGTGACAACGCATCTACCTGGCCCATCGAAACCGTTGCCTGATAACGGATTGCAAAATCATAGCCAAGCAAGATGAGGGCTGGATGGGCAGGAATTCACTTCTTCGAACCGAAAATGGCCAGCAGCGG